TCGGGGCAGCTCGGGCCGGGAAACGGGTGGAGTGCTGCTTCCTCCCCGGCCCTGGCCACCCTGGGCCCGCCACCCGAGCTGCCTCTTTGCATAAGACACTGCATAAATCTGTGTGGTGGCTTTTTTTAAACAAAAGTTCTTCTTTAAATGAAGCCGTAACAACGTCTGTGGAGTCAGCAAATGCTCTCCTGTCACCCTGGCTTTGTCTGCTTCCCCAAAACAGCCATAATATCTCTCTTCTGTCCAGTGCCACCAGTTTGTCAGCTGCATCTTGGTAGCAATACAAACCTGTTACAGGAGTGTGCAGAGGAGGTAGGGAGGCTGTGTGGGCTTGTACTAAGGTAGAATTTGAAGAGGAACAACCACAGGACTGGATATCGACAAACATTTCCAGTGACTCCTGCTTGTAGATGTAGTCTGTTTGAAATGCAACTGTCATCTGTACTGATGGAAACACTTAGGTCAGTACAGGTCTATACAGAAGGAGATGTTTGGATGACTGGACTGCTTGTTCTTTGGAAATAAGGACATATTGTAGCACGGAGAGGAGGAGGACGTGGCACCTTTTATGTGTCAGTGACATTCCTTCTCCCCAGCAAGGTACCAGGGCGCCTCTATTGCATATGTGGCTCAGTACAGGTTTGTGGGTCATAAGAGCAGATCATGATGGGACAAGAGATGAAGTACCTTGGAGTCTGGGAGAGATAAGGGTGCTGGGAACTTTTATCCTGGCTGCCTTGAAGTGTGGATGGGGTCCCTGAGAGATGAATACCTCGGCCAGAAGGCTGGCTAGGCTGAAAGTTGGAAGATGGGGAAAAGAAATGGAATCACTGCCACCATATTTCCTAAAAGATCTATTAGTACTGTGATGACCTTTTATATCAGTTCTAATGAAAAATGGAAGTGCTTATAATAATTGATACTGCTTATCAGTACTTGGCAGTGTGCATTCCTTCTTCAGAATCCTGAACTGAGGGGAAGCAATGAAAACGTTGAGATGTGAATGGAATAGAGAAGATTTACTGTGGTACAGTCAAAACAATCATATACTGAAAATATGGAAAAAAACCCAAAATATCTAGACTACTTAAGTAGTAAATGAAGATTACCCTGGCTACAAATACGCTGTTTTTTTGCTTTGAATATTGAAGGCAAGCCCATCTATTTAATGAATTTACAAAAGACCTAATTATGTTTTTTTTATGGGGAGGAATAAAAAGGTGCTATGCTTTACTGTGTAGCTTGTCTTAAAGTCCTCATTCTGAATCAGTTTTCTAAAATTGCCATGGGAACTTGTAGCCAACCCTTCCCTTGAAGTAGCATGGTACAGAGATATCCCTTTTTTTGTTTTTCTTTTATAAACAAAGTCGTCGAAAGGTTAATTTAGTAGCACTTTCAGTTTTTTATATTCAGCCTTGCTGGTAGGTCATTGCCTAGTAACCTTGCAGAGGAGATTGTTCAAGAGTCAGAAGGGTAGCATTAGAGATGGTTTTAGTTATTGACCCCAATTGCTCAGGGGGATGATGACTAGAAGAACTGCTGTGAATAATGGAAATTCCTCTTAACTAAGTGGCATCTGGATTGCCCTTTGTGCAAGGCAACAGAATTGAGGATGTGTCATGAGCTGGAATAGAAATCCAGATGTTTGCATTTGTTTCACGAAAAAAGGGGACTATGGGAATTATGTTGTTTCTGAAGTTGGAGGGAGACATTGTGTCAAGGGGGGGGGGGTATGTGAGAGGATATACTGCTGCTTTCTAGTAAGCTTCTGAACTCATGATAAAGAGTTACTCTGGACTTCTAAGATTTATTTTTTTTTAAATATCCTAACTTTTCCATTAAGAAATACATGGGATCTTGAGGAATAACAAAGATTTCTGTGTGCTGTAAATTGAATCAAAATGATGTTTTTCTTTTTTTTTTTTTTTTTTTTTTTTTCCCCCCTCTCTAGTGGAATGCAGTAGCTCTGTGGGCATGGGACATTGTGGTTGATAACTGTGCCATTTGCAGAAATCATATTATGGATCTATGTAAGTAAATGGTGGGGAATACAGTTGACAGTTTTGACTTGTACAGGATGCACACCTGAAATTTCCCCTGTTGAGGGTATAATTCAGCAAATGGAGCTCTCACTTAGGAACTAAGTCTTCACAGTGCAAATACTAAGCTCTATTTTATGTAATGCTGTGAAGTCCTATAATCTGTTTTTGTGACCTCTGCCACCATACTGCTTTTCTGTCACCCTTTTCTTTTAAAGAGTAGAATCACTTGGTACCACATCTACAGAAAATATGATGTTGCTTGAGTGTATTTTGGACATAACAAAGAGGGAAAGGATTAATGATAAAGAGCAAGGAGGAACTGAAATTATTCAGGGCTGACAGGTATTGCTCACAAAGAGAGGCATTAGATTTTAGAGTTGGGGATGTTGCTATGGGTATCAGCTTCTTGGTAACATTCATTAGGATGAAATCTTCTAAGACTTCCAGTGTCTGGCCAGGAAAGGCTTGGACTGGTGACTTCATTTGAATCATCATTCTACAAAATCTAGTTTGCATAAGTTAGTTCATGTTACAGCATGGGGAATTTTGTAGCCACCTAGAGATTAATTGTTCATTTACAAAGGAGAATAATCAAATGCTAAATCAAAACCAGTGTATTGCTAGTAGTGGCTTAACATGCTGCTGTACAATCTTGATGATTCAATTAACAAATATCCTTGCTATGTAGAAAAATAAGGTAATAATGGCATTAAGTGTGCACACATGAAATCTCACTGGTTTCAGTCACTTAAAGGATTGGTTATGAGTACAAAACTTTTTTTTTCCCCCTCCAAACTGGCAAGATACTGTTGGCACTGTAAATAAATGTCCAGCTTGTTTCAGTCATGAGGGACAGAAGATTTTAATATACCCCAGATAGACAGAAGTTCGCCTTATTTGCTATATTACTAAAATATGAGGATTGTGAAACTCCCCAAAACAAGAACAGGTACAGCTGCAGTGCCTGGGAATAGCCTGTCATGATCCCTTTGTGATAGTTTTGTTGCACTTTGGTTTTATGCAGTGGCCCTTGGAACTACTGGTAATGGTAACTTACTGTCAGGAAGTCTATATGAAAATAAAACATTTCAGAAAAATAAGACTCAGGTTTATAGTAACAACTAGTGAGAGATGAACTTCATTTTACATCATATATAAATAATAGTTACAAAACTACTTTCAGAAGTTATTTTTAATAAAGAGAAAATACACTGTAACACACAGGACTGAAAATGGGTTAAGCAAGTTTACTTCTTTGCTTTGAGACAGATACGTTTGTATTTTGAGCCAGCTACCGCCCATCCATCCTCAGTTTATTCTTGGTTACTAGAAAGGGAATGATAATGCGAAAGAGAAGCAAGTGAGAATAGATATTATGAAATATGATGAGGTCCTTTGATGTAAAGATTTCCTTTTTCAGTACTGCCATTTTGAAAGGTAGTTGAGGTATATAGTAGACTACTACTTAGCCTCCCAAATTTATGATGTATTAGAGAGGAAAGCATGTTACTGACAGGCAAATCGAATTTTAAAGATTTGTTATAACATAAGTTGCATTTAATAGAATTTACAAATGTATAGAATAAATATATAAAATCGTGTAATTCAAGATAATTATTCATGGTAAGTGGGATATGTTGTAAGATAGTGGATGCTGGTGTGTTTCATGCTATGAATCTGCTTCAGAATTAATAGTGCCTCTCATGAGAGAACAAATTCGGTCTCATATATTTGCTATTTTTTATAAATAGTAAATAGCACATGTGATGATGGAATGATGTGGAGGAGCTGGAAGGAGAGTAGACAGATGTTATTTTCCAGTGGTGAATTTTGTGTGTCAGTTCTTAAAAAAAATAAAAATAAAAAATTAAAAAAACCACAAACTACTGAAATGGGGGTGGGGTTGAGAGTGTATAGGTAGATTAGGAAAAACAGTGAAGGAAAAGGGCATAGGCAACTTTTTTCTTTTTTGAGTTACTCAAGCCATAACAGTATTAATTTGGTTATGACCAAGCCTGGTTATGAAAAGCTTGGACTGTAAATGACAGAACAAAATTGACAGTACGTAGAATAGAAGGGGTATCTAAATCAGTGTTCTGAGATCAGTGTTGGTTCTGGGTTTACTTACTTCCTTGATACAGATCATTAATGTTGTTAAACAACACTTTAATTAGATTTTAAAACATAAGATGTGAAGTGATGGGGAATTGAGGAAAAATTAATAGAATGTGTAGGGAAGAACAACACAAGATTCCATTTGATAAAATGCAAGATACAAATGTCTCCCTCTCCTAGTGATGAAGAGAAACCTTGAAAGGGAAAACATTAAAATAGTGATAAGTAACACCAGCTATGCTAATGTAAGATTGTTAACATTGTGAAGTCAGGCATCAGTATTAAGGTGTCATGCAGTTCTTCTCGTGTATGTACATTGTGACTCTGTAATAATACAGTCAAAGGATTCCCCATGTCCTCAATTTGATATTAAGTGTACAGAAGGATTGAGTAGATTTTCAATGTTTTGGTTTCATTCTTCTCTGGGAAGACCCAGGTCCTATTTAGATTTTACTTGAGCAGTGTTCCTGATTTCTTCAAAGGCTTGTTCCCTGGTGCTGTCATTGCAACATGGTAAGTTGGGAGTGTTAACTAAACACTATGTTTAGTATTGTGGATTACTCTCTGATCTAAAACGTGGAATGTAGTATTGTAGTAAGGTAACCAGTATAGTTTTGAACTGTGTAAAATGTGCCATCAAAATACTGTCCCCTTTCTTTGATAGTGAGAAACAAAGTACCACGTTTGATATTCCAGCTTCACAGAGATAGATATATTTTATAGAATCCAGAGAAGAATCTCAGGATGCTTGACAGGTTGAATGATTTTGGATTTATGAGAAGAATAAAAAACCAGAACCAAGTATATATAGTTTACTAAGTCATAAGTAGAAGTGGAAGATGATAGCTGTGTACGTACATTTTGAGAGTGTGATACTAATAGGAAATATGGAGTGTCATACAGTGGGGTTATAAGTAGGAGGAATCATATGATGTTGGGGGTGGGGGGGAGGCATAGGGTAAGTATGTAGTAAAATTTGCAGATAATTCCTAAGAAACTGGGGAGAACTGCAAGGGAAAAATTCTGGAGTTCCTCTGAAGTTTGAAAAAATAAATTGAAGAGCTTATCCAGTACAGAAATGCTTCCTAATGCCCAGTCTAAACCTCCCCTGGTGCAGTTGTGCACTATTCCCATGCATCTTATCACTAGGTACCAGGGAGAAGAGATCAGCACTTTCGTCTCCATCTCCCCTCTTCAGGGAGCTGTAGAGAGCAATGAGGTTGCTTCTCGGCCTCCTTTTCTCCAAACTAGACAAGCCCAAAGTCAGTAGCTGTTCCTCATAGGATGGCTGCTCCTCATAGGACAAGTAACAAGTGTCCTTTGAGTTTATTAGCCTGGTTATATACTGTTTCTGTTTTCTGAGTGAGTATATGATGTGTTGTGTTTGCCAAGCTATGTGTATATATTTCTCTTCTTCCCAGTAAGTTGATCCCTTCATGACATGATTTTAGAAGGCAACATGTAAAGAGAAAAGGGAACCTATACAGTGGTTACCCTTGCTCAAGTAGAAGCTGCTTTGAAGAGTCTTATAATCAAATTTACCAGTGCAGTGGGCTATTACTGTAGCTGCAAACAACTGACGTACTTTACTTCTGTTACCTGCCATTATGGCTACTTAAATCTTAGGTTGCTTTTCATGTTAGGTAAATATACAGGAGATTTCTGCAATACAAAATGTATAGGAGGAGAGATGGTTCTTATAGATGCCAAGATTCTGATGTTGCCATTATATAATGTGCATTTCTCTAACTCCCAGAGTTGAAATGCTTCCATTGCATCTTTCATAATTATTTACAGGTATTTCAGGTTTTAGCTTTATCTTTTTGCCCTGACCTCTAGATACTCTGTCAAAAGCAAGGCAACAGAAGAGTTGTTCAGTATTCCTCCAGTACCTGTTACTGTCTGACTGTTAATGTTTCTTTTGAGTCAGCAGATGGTAAATAGCTGCTTCTTCTTTCAAGAGCCAGAATTATCAACTTTCATTCTCTGACAAAGATTGTTCATTTATTTTATTTCTTTGTTGATATATTGTCCTTTTCTGAAAAGAGACAAGTAGGAGACCAAAAAGTGCTTCAGCTTTTGGGAGGCCCTTTTTGGGCAGTAGTGCCAGCAGTAGTCTCCAGCCTGCTTGATGAGAGAGTTAAATCTGGGTGTCTTGTTGGAAGGGGCTTACATCACCACCAGAGAACTCCTCCCAAGCTATTTCTGCAAAAGTTCATCTGTCCTCTTAAGCTTTTGGGACTGTCATGTTGTAGACTGTATTTGGTTATCAGCAAATGTTTGAGTAACACTAAAATGAATTTCAGTGCTGCTTTTCTTCCTTACCTAAACCACCTTTTTCCCCTCTCTCTCCCAGTCAAAATATACAGTCCTTTGAAGCGTGAAAAAATAAATTAAAATTGTGTTGTGTTCCAGACCATACAGCTCACAAGTTAGTCACTTGAAGGGGGATGGGGCGAAGAGACAAAATGACATAAAAATGGGCTAGATGGACTTCAGATCTAATATGTACAATATCCTGTTGCCAGCAGGGAAAGAGGAAGAGAAACAAGATAAGTATATTACATGCTGGAATATTTTCCTTGCATTCAGCTGAGACTTCCTGAGTTCAAATTTGCTTACCAGTTGACTTTTCTTCCTTCAAATGAATCTCCTCTCCTTTTCCTACTATCTTCTCACCATTTTCTGTTAGTGTACAGACTCATGCCAAATATTTAAAACTTAATATAATATGCCCCATGATATTCAGCAAGACTGTGAGTCTATACTGCAGTAACAGTACAATTGTTGCAGCAATCTTGAGTGTCAAATTTTAAACGAATGTCCAAAGTAATTGAACCTCTTCAAGGTTCTTGAGCATCTTCCATTTTCTTAATTATGTTTAGTTTTATTGCTGTATATATTGAGGGTTTATGGAATTAAGACATCAGATGTTTCAGGTGCACTGGATTTTGTTCTTTTCTATAGGCAGGTCAGGGATTGAGCTCTGGACCTCCTGCTGTGGTATATCGTATCTTGATGTAAACCATGTAATAAATACAGGTTCATTCAAACCTTGCAGGACAGTTGTTGCTACTTAGTTTCTTTAGACCTTAGTCTTGTTTTGAGTAGTTTTTCATGACAAAGGTTAACCAATCTCTCTCACATCTCAGGAAAAATGGGCCTTTCTCTTATTTTTTTCACCTCTACACCTGAGAGTGAAAAATGGAGAAAGAAGTTAATAGGACAGAGCAAATGAAGATCACATTTTTCAGCCAAGCCTGCGGGCTTTGAAAGTTTTTGAATCTTTAGATGGTGAATCAAATACTTTTTCCTTTGGGCACACAAACAGTGAACAGAGAATTGGAGCTCATTCAGATATTTTCTTTGCCAGGAAAAAAAGATCTGCAAAACAAGGAAGCAACAAGCCCATGTATTGAGTTCTAAGATGATCATCTATCAGCATGTCCTTTCAAATTATTTGAGCTTGACTTTTAAAGAAAGCATCCTTTAGCAGAAGTGAAATGTTGGTCTCATAGGTTTGTGCTGCTGACTCTGGAGGAGTTGGAAATATCTTTTTTTTTTTCTCCTGAAGCTTCTTCTTGAGCTGGAGCAGAAGTGAATTGTTTAGGCTTTAGAGTGGAGAACCAGTTTGGATTTATTTTCTCAGTGCTGTTCATTCTTTCCTCACTCTCTCATCTCCTTCATCTGTGCCACCTGACACAAAAACCCAAAACATAACCCAAACACATAAATAGTCTTTATCCTTTTTGGGATTATCCTGGGTACTCAGCTCCAAGGTATAAAAAGTTCACAACATGAACTTTCAAACTGTATTTTCTATTGTGTATTTTTGAGGTGTACTTAACTTGTTACAAGACCATAGAAAAAAGACAGGCAAACTCCAGCATTACATGAGCAAATTAATTTGTAAATATAACTGATGGTACATAATGTCTGCCAAGGCAGTGAATTTATGTTTAGAGAAACCTGTATAAGAAATTTAAGTGAATGTACCTTCAACTGATCATCAAAAGACATCTCTTAAAACACAAGAGAAAAAATTTAAAATATTTATCCTTAAAATTTGGAAAGCAGACACGTTACCAATAGATGAGCTGTGTACTCTTGCCCTGTGGAACTTTGGAATACTAAAAAAAGTAGAGGAAGGAGAAAGCAGGATGAAGTATGATTTGATGGGATACTTTTGGGGAAACAGTACATATTTTGACACTTACAGATGTAATAAACGCAACAAAACAAAGACTCTTTTCTTTTGTTCTTCCCCACTTGCTAATTTGAAGAAATCTACCAGTTGATGTTGCATGTATATCTGCATATCTGTGTTTAATCTTTCTTTTCACAGGCATAGAATGTCAAGCAAACCAAGCATCAGCTACCTCTGAGGAGTGTACAGTTGCATGGGGCGTCTGCAATGTAAGAAAAACTGTTTTATTGTGGAGCTCATGTGTGGTGACTTTTTTCATGACTCGCAAAATGAGTGCTATAAAATGTTTTAGATAATCCATGAGAAAAAAGAACTTTAAACACCATATGTTCAGTAGAATGTAGAAAGGAGAGAAGAGGAAAAAAGTGAAAGTTGGAGAGGTGTAAGATGGAAGACAGAAGAGAAGATAGGCCTTTACCCCTTTTTTTTTTTTCTTTTTTAAAAAGAATAATAGATCTTTCATTCTGAACATGATTTCCTGATCAAGGGTCTGCCTAGGAACTATGCTTTTTTTTTTTCCTACTAATAGGATTACTTGGATGTCAGCATGCTTGATTTGTCTTTGTGCAGGCTGATTCAAGGAGTCAATATGGGGCAACTAGTTGATTTGCTTCCCCTTTTGGAGGAAGATCAGATTTCTAGTGTATAATCTCCAGCTTTTCAGTTTATTGCCGTATGTGCTCCTTTGTACATGGTGCCACTAGCATGTGAACAAAAACTTGCATGCCTCGTGGCTAACCTGGGTCTGAGTTGGAAGATAAAATTTTCTGTAATGGAATAACTACCTGTTCCTCAGTCCCATCCTTGCTATGCTGTGGGATCAAGTTACAGCATGATAATGCTGGAATGGGATTATAAATGTTGTGATTTTGTTTGTAGAGGACAAGAACAACTCTTTTAACCAGGTCAGAATATTCTAGTGTCAAAATTATGTTACTGTGTGCAAGAGTTATCACAAGTGGAAGCTTGTTTTTAAGTAGCTGTACGGAGTATTAAACATGTAATAGAGATTTTTCTTCTTTGTAATTTTGCAAGTTCCTTTTTATTCAGGCTTTGGTTTGTCCAGAGGACTGGTAGAAAGCTTCAGTATACATATATATCATCCCTGCTATTCATGCTGAAATCCTCTTTCTTGTCTTTCTGATTATGCTTCTATCAGCATCTGCTCTGCTGATTTTAGCAGCTGCTAAACTCTGTGTCTGCTCCTTCATCAGAAATCAGTCTGTTGCCACTGTACGTATGCACTGTGGAACAGGCTCCCTGCTGCCATTTTGCTAGTGTTCCCTTCCTCTCTGAAAATGTCGATCAATTCCTTGGTGTTAACCAGTGAGCTGGCTGATTAGTCCTCTCCACCTTTGTCTGTAAACACTACTCTCTTCATACCATGATGCTTTCAGTGGTAGCTTTCACATAGAGTTACATTCATGTGTTCTGAAATGATGTGATCTAAACTTTCTTTTCCAGCATGCTTTCCACTTCCACTGCATCTCTCGCTGGCTCAAAACTCGCCAAGTATGTCCGCTGGACAACAGGGAATGGGAGTTCCAAAAGTAGGTATCTTGCACAGATTTCATGATGAAAAATCCAATTGTCCTTCTGTTAATAGGAATGATCAACATCAGATATGTGGGTAGTCTGTCTCATTTGAGGGCATAGCTGCTGTTGGGAAAGGGTTTTTTTTCCACCTTGCTGTATAGGGATGTTTACTTAGCCACCCAATGCTAAATGTGCTCTGAAGGAAGCCCAAACAGCTGTGGGATAAGTAGGAGTTGTTAAAAAAAATAGTGATTTCTGTTGACATTCTCACTAAAGAATGGGGAGCAGAAGAGAAATTAAATTCACTGGAAATGGAGCCTCATGTGAATACTACACTGTTGCATGAGCAGTTTGGGTTTTGAAAATGACCTGAATTTAGCTGCTTGTATTCCAAAGCATTTCTGCTGAGGTGCTAGATGGTTTGGGTCCCTCTGTATCTTGGTGATTTGTTTTATAACTCTAATAGGCTCAGAGATTAATACACCTGATTCCTAACACCTGGAAATCAAATGTCCATGTGACCATTGCTGCAGCCTTGGCCCATTTATTTCTAATTTCTGTATTCTTTGTTTTGGTTTGTGTTTTTCAAAGGTTAGAATATTTTCAAAGGTTAGAATAAAATTGTTAGAATAATAATAGAAGATCCATGGATGGGTTTTTGAGAGGTAATTGTCTTTTTGAGAGGTAATTTTACACTGAGAGGAAGTTTTTCTGTCACTTGCTTCATTCTGCGCCATTTATCCATTCATCTTTTCTTAGCTGTGGATTTTTCTCTCTCCCCGCCCCCTTTTTATAAATAAATAAATAAATAAGTAATTCTAACCAGAGTCCAGATTAAAACAAAGCAAAACAGATACTATAACTGTTGAGGATTGTCTTGGGGATCTGGTTCACAACCAGTTGTGCAAGTCATCATTGACATGACAACTTGAGTACCATAGTTCTGATATTAGAATGTTTTAATGAACGCTTAATGAAAAATGAGCCCATGTTGCATGGCTAGTGACTTAATATTGCACAGGCAGCATGATGAGAAATGGAGACATGAATTAATATCTTCTTATATGTGCAAGGCTATGACATGCTTTGGTCTTGTTTACATGCAGGATATATTTGAAGTGGGATTTGGGGCAAAAGATGATAATACTGAGGGTCTCTTGCATATAATATTGTGGATTGCTCAGGCTCTCTTTTAACTAGTATCTGGATAGACTTCTGGGGGAAGAGAAATGTGGAGAACTTCCTAAGGTTTCCATAACATAGCATTTCACCTTCACCTGGTTTACATGTTAATTACATTGTGGTAGAATGAGAAGAAATCTGCCGAAATCAGCACTAGTATAAAATATAATTTTTAAAGAAGCATTAATATATCATATATTTGCAGGTATGGACACTAGAGAGATGGTCACCACGCTTCTTATTACATCGTCAGCCTCAGTTGTTCTTGTCACCATGGATTTGTTTTAGCAACTTGAAAAATCAGTAATGTATACAATTCTTTAATGTTAATTTCTCATTATATTCCATTGAATAAAATCTTGCTGGAGCTTCCCATCAGAGTTTTGTGTCTTGTGTTCAGGAGTGGGCAGTCAGTGAATGAGGGAGGAGAATTATCTGCAGACTGAGGACTTAAGCTAGGCAGTTCTTAAGATGTGCAGCTCTTTTTGTCGTTCTGCCCAGGTTTTGACTGTGAGTTTGGTCTTACTCCCAAGCAATCAAGAACCACTGAGGTCAGCATTAAGCTCCATCGTGTAGTGCAATGGGTGCAGGACTTGGCCTGGCTAAGTGTAATTTACGCGAATAGTGTTTCGTTTGGACGTGCTTTCTTGCAGCCGAGTTGAAATGATGATCTATGAAATTAGGGGTTGTGTCATTATTAGAAACTACTCTCCTGTTCTTGAGTTTGACTAGACCAGCTCCTCTGCAGAGAAAAATTGCACTAACTGTTCCCAATTCCGTCTGTTTAGCTTGGGGGACGTTAACCGAATGCTAGTTTTTATCAGTGCTCATAAAGCACTTTCATGTGTGAGGTGAAAGTAAACTCAGGAAATTCACATGCTAGATTGGCTGGAAAGCTAAAGGTACAGTATAAAGCAGTGTACAAACAAACTAATTCTTGTTTGACTTTCTACTGGTATTTTCCCAGTTCAAGCGAAGCTGTAGTTCTTACTGGCCAAAAATTGGTACTCTTAAAACTACATAGTGTTTTGTTTGGTGTCTCCTGTGCCAAATGGCCTGTTTTCCTCCTCACTGCATCAAGTTTTGGCCCCTTATGTTGACAGCCTCAGCAGATGCTGGGAACTCAAACAAGGTCCAAGAAATTCTTCCTGCTATAAGAGGCTGTGCCACTTCATGTCAGCAGCGGTAGGTACAGTAAATTTCTGTCTTTGGCTGTCCATTATGCCACCTTTGGATCAACACTTTTTTGCTAGTTATTGAAGATGGCAAATTTGATAGCTGATGTTAAAACATTAGTGTGCTATAGGGATAGGGAATAAAGATGGTCATTGACAGTATCAAAACTTGAAGGTTTTTCAGTAATTGCTGGAGCTTTCTTTAATCTGCAGCAAGCAAATCTCAGGATTTTATTATCAGCTGGTGTCAGTGCTTTGAAATAATATGCTTTGCTGTTTTCCACCCTGACGAAGAAAAGAAAAACAACTAGAATCAGGTGAGTTTATAGTTAGACAGTTTATTTACTAGTTTTAGTTGGTAGAAAGATCATCCTGAATTGCAAGGTAGTTCTGGTGATGGAGGAAGGAACGGAACAGAAGAGGAGAGGGAAGATGATCTCAACAGTGGTCAAAGCATTCATCCAGGCAGTGGGATACCAAGGTTAAATGCCAGTCCCTGAAATTTGAACTCCCATTTAGTGTCCTGTCCAGCTGAGTAAAATGTCAGTTGTCCCTGTTGTACAATTGTCCATTTAGTTTGCAGTGTTTGACTGTTCTTTTTTTTTCCAGGACCTGGAACCCAGATGCTCACTGATTGGGGAATTTATGTTCTTAAGAACTTTGTTTTGGGTCCAGCTACATCATTCTAGTTTGTCTCCCTTTAGTCTGTGCATATTGCCCTGAGGATATTTTTTTGGCTGGGGACAGACATCAGTGCAGGCATTTCCCTCTCCTTCATGGCTTTGTGTGCATTTGCTTGAGGCTGTGCCTGCAAGAAGTGTGCATTTGCATGAGGCTGTGCCTGCAAGAAGACAGGGGGGTTTTGTATTTTTTTAATTGCTTTTTTTAAATGGATCCCTCCAAATGGCAGGCTGCAGGCACTCTACCCCCACACCCTTTGAAACTGTTCTGCTGAAGTGCATCAAGCCCTGTTAAATTTGATTTCAGATGCTATTGTTACATCTGTCCCAAACCTGGTTTTCCCAAATGGAAAAATACAGACTGTAAAACAGCAATTGCTTTCAGGCCCAGGAAAGTAAGTCCTTTTGCAGCTGCTGGCAATTGGAATGGCCCTCCTGCCACCTCCCCTACTGCAAAGAGCCCACGCTTGGTGACGACCCACGGCAGCTCCAGCACAGGGCTGCCAGCAGCCCTGTTTTCCATAGTGCCTTAAGGGTTGTGTCTGAGGGTGGGAGAAAAAGCTTCAGCAGCGACCTAAGAGAGAAGCTCTGTGGCACAGGCTGAATCAAGTGGAGGTGAGAGAATCTATTTTATCCAAAGGCACAAAGCACCCCAGGACATGGTCACTCAGGCCAACATTGCTCTGCCCTGACTTTTATGGTTTGGCCTCCATCTCCACTGAACATGGTGGTGGTGGGAGGGGGAAAGCCCATTTGTTCCCACCACCTTTTTTTTTCCTGAAGCAAATGTTTTTTACTACAGCTGCCCTTTCTTGAAAAATAGAGGGGTTTGGAGTGGAAGGAGGAATTGGTCACATTTCCACGCATCCTGGGGGGAAGGTAGGTGTGCAGGGGAGAAATGACAACCATGTCAGTGCTGTTTGCCCATCCTATAAATGGAGGATGCATCTGAACTGTGGACCCAAGTATAAAATCAGGAGAAAATGATGATTAAAACTGCAGAAAGTAGTGTATCCTGCAGCTGCCCAGCTTAGAGGAAAACCAAACCACTGGTAGACCTGCTGTGGAGCAGAAAGCAATTTTGACATTTCTAAAGCTTTCCACAAGTTTGTCAGCTGAGGTGAGCTGCATTGCTGAGCAGGCTCTGGTGGAGAGCACTCTGGGCACACCAAAATGACCAGACAGCGTCTTCCTTCTCTTCATTTTGGAAAGGAGGCAATGAGCTCCAGGTGCTGTGCGGCATTGGCTGTGCTTCATGCACCAAATCCCTTGATGCTCTTGCATTAAAATGCCAGAATTGGGATGACATGGTGCAGAGACGGCATGTTGGGCTATGCAGAAGTAGGAGGGGACAGATGGGAATTTCTCTACCAAAATCAGACTATGGTCCATACATTAGAAAAATGTCAGGCCATCAGGAGGCTTCTGGTTGAAAGGTGTCATCAGAAAGAAATGTCTGAAGCCTCAACTAGTTTGCCAGCTTTGTAGTGGCACAAGGTTGCTCACTTCAGCCTGGGTGAAAGCTGCCACTGCCCAGAAGCCCCCAGGCCACAGCTGGAGAGAAGTAGGAGGAGGTGACACCGATGAAGGTATTTTCCTGCCACAGGTTCTCCAGGAGGCTGGAGGGGAGGAGGAGGATGGGTGTGGAGAAGCATCCCTTGTCTCCCTGCTTTGTTCACCCTGTTCTCCCCATAAAACCTGTGGGAAGAGCAAGATCTTGCCTGCTTTTGCTTTTCCCTACTAGCTCACTCTGCCGATATTGCTGCCAGCTTTAATCTGCTGTGAGGAAACACACTGTTCCCTGCACCACACACTCTATACATTGCTTCATTTTCTTCCTCAATGCAGCAGGTTTTGCAGCAAGCCTGTTGTTGCTCGCTGTGGGGTGTCTCTAGTGCATGGATGGCTTCCACAAGCCCCTCACCCCACCACTGCCCTCCCCCAATTCCCTGTTGCTTGCTCTGGTCTGCTCTCCTCTTTCACTTTTCCCCTCTCTGATCTGTTTCCCATGGAGATCCCAAGGCATCAATGGTGCTGTTCCTCCATCCAGAGCCTGAGAGAGGGGGGTCAGTGGAATTTGGCTCACCTGGGCTGAAGTTGCATCCAGTCCCTGAAGTCAAGCTACAAGTTGCTGGAAGATCTGTTTTGTCTTTCTGTCACTTGATTCCTTCACAACAGGACATTGGCCTGTTGTCTCACTTTTTTCAGTTGCTTTCCAGCCTCTCCCCATCAGACATGGAAGGGGATGCTGCCCAAAGCTCAACCCAATGTCGGTGCAGCTTGCTGGGCCTTCACATCATGACATTGCCAGCAATGGTCCCGGCTGCAAAAGAAAGAAGACAAACAAACAAAACATTTGAGGCTGCAATTTAAAAGATCTGTTGAAAATTAGCACCAGCTCATTCTGGAAAGGCCAGATCTGGGTGTGGGGATGCATGACTGCCTGCTGCCTTGCTGAATTTACCCACTCTACTGCAACAGCCTGGATGTTGCCTGTTTGCTGTCTTGTATTTCCATATGACAGTGAACATGGCTCAGCCACCTGATTTCTTGGTCCTTGCATGAAAGGTGAGTCCTGCTGTCACTGCTGTAGCACATAAGCTAGAAGGAGGGCACAGCAGTTGCCTTTGGAAAGGTATGAAAAGTACCAATGTGGTAGGTATCAAAACTCAAGATGGGACTGCGAAGCCTTATGACCCTGGTGCATCAGGATTTTTTGTCCATGGAGCATCAGAGAGGTATTTTCAGTTGATCTGCTGTCACAGGCAGATGATCCTAGATGGCAGCATGCTGGCGGTGCCTTTGAGAACATGTCCTCTTCTGGTTGTGCTGTTCTTCCTTGGTCACCCTCATCTCCTATTTGTTTTCCTATGTTGGGTCTCAAGTGGATGCTTATGTGCTGGGGAAGGGGATTAAAGGAGGTTTTCTTCTCTGGAGACACGGCCCGCTTAGTATCCTTTTCATCCCCCTTCCTCTTCCATGACCTAGAAGATATCAGCTTCAATGCAAATCAAAAGGGGCATTTGTCTGAGGGGTGGTGTGCCATTGGAGCAGTCTCTTCATCCCAGTTGTACTAGATGCATTGAAATGATTAATTCTGACATTTTAGACATGAAATGGTATGTTTTTTTAATGAAAAACATGGGCTTGTGTGTTTTGTGTACTTTTCCCACCCCCGAATGTCACTATCGTGGATTTTTTTGAAGGGCATGCATTTGCCAAAATGCATCCCAGAAGTGCAGCCTTTTCTGTAAAACATGAGTTCAGTTTTGTACAGTTTCAGTGTGTAAGTTATCATGCTTACCATAAAACCCTTTCACATGTTTGGTTTTGGGGGTGAGAGCTGGCTCCAGGTGCCAAGGCTCTCACAGTCCACTGCTCCATGTGGAACGAGTGGCCATCCATCTCCCTGCTCAGCTAAGCAGAGACCAAACATTTAAAATACTCATAATTCACTCATTTCCAAACTGTTTAGAGATGAAGGTCTACAAAAAACCACAATGGCTCTATGAAGATCATCCCT